TTGATTATTTGAAGGCTTGTCGCAACCTAAGACCAGAAACTCAAAAGATGCAAATGCTACGTCAAACAATGGTTGCTGCCTTAAGAAAAGAAAATGAAGGATGCTTTACATGTGGAGATAAGTACCATTTAAAAACGGACTGCCCTAAGAAAGCTAATAAAAAGCCTCCAAAAATCTGCCCTTGCTGCCGTAGAGAAATGCATTGGGCCAAAGAGTGTAGATCTAAATTTGATATTGAAGGGAAACCTATTCCTGGAAACTCCAAGCAGGAGACCCCCCAGGTCCCCTTCAACAAAAACCAGGGGCAAATTCCACTTTTTCCCTCAAACCCTCAGCATCCGGCAGTGCTGCCATCGATATACCAGCCCTAAATGACTTCTCCTTTACCCTCAAGCAGTCCCCTCTAGAATACCTACTGGACTTTTTGGGGCCCTGCTCCCACAAACCTTCAGTCTTTTACGTGGCCAACATAGTTTGACTTAACAGGCAGGAAGGCCAGGGGTCTCCAAATGGAAAAAACAGGCTGCAAGTGTCAGACGTTTTTCTCTCTCTTAGGCGGCAGGAGGAAACAAACTAGCAGGAAGGAAACTAGAAGGAAACAGACTTTCCTTCTGTATACAAAATTAAAAGGTTTCTCTTAAAATACTATGTTGCCATAATGACACCTGGTTTCACTTGAAGTTAACTATTCTCAAACCCTGAGTTAACCAATGCATTTTTCTTATGGAAATGTTTGTCTTACCCTAGATTCTTTCTTCAAGTTGGTTCTGCCTAAGACTCAGAACCGATTTGACAAACCAGTATGTTTTACTCATGCAAATGTTCTCTTAAGCTATGTTAATGAAACTGTATTTGCTTGGAAACCTGCCTTTCTTCAAGATTCATGTCAATCATTTTGTGGCCTGGGACAACTCACCTGGTGCCAAGGTTATCTCAAAATGCATATTGTGTGTGAGGGGCCTGGTGTTATTATCTTCGGTTCTGAGATATTTCCTTTCTCTAATTAGCAGACTGCTAGTTGTTATATGACACCTGGCTAAAGACTAGCAGGGGGCACTCTTTCTGCCCCCTTCTGATGCCTATGTCAGAGGTTTTCTGTATCTCCTTTATATTTTAATAAAACTTTATTACATATAAATCTCAATTTGAGAACACATTACAAACTTCTACCAATTTCCAATTAGCTTTTCTAAAATATTTTGGAAAAATATCATTTCATTATCCTTCTGGTAAGCTGTGGAATTTCTTCAAAAACACTGAATTTATTATTTCTCACATTTCTTTTATATAGACGGGACTAAAAACGCCAAAGCTTCATTCTGGTCTCTTAAAAAATATAAAGTCTTTTATACTAAATTTCATTCTGCTCAACAAAATGAATTATATGGTCTTATTCAAGTTATTTGCCTACAGCCTTACCCCATTAATATAGTCTCTGATTCTATATATTCAGTTTTTGTATTAAAAAATATAGAAAACTCCACCATAAACTCCTAGTTCTATTAAAACAGACAATCGCCCTGCCTATATTTCTAGACACTTTTAACAATTTTTACAATTTTTTTCTATTAAACATATCACAGGTATTCCTTATAATCCACAGACACAAGACATAGTTGAACAAACACATCACACACTAAAGTTACAAATAAAAATTAAAGAAGGGGGAATACACAGGTACGCTACTGTCTTCCTTATCTAAAGCAGACTTTACTAGATTCCAACATAAGATATTTTCTAAACCTATGATTATTGTTAATACAGCTTTATTTGTTTTAAATTTTTTAAACCTACCACAGGGAAATTTTAACAAGAGCAGAAAGACATTTCAAGGAATTGAAGGACACTTCTCTTCCTCTGCCCATTTGGTATCAAGACGGGTTCAATAAACGATGGAAATCTGGGAAACTAATCTTACAGGGAAAGGGATATGCTTGTATTTCCCTAGATGTATCCAACAAACTTTTTCCTCAGAAAATTTGACCCAAGGGGGCCCCCAACATTCAAAATGGAGACGAAAAAACAAGAACCCCAGGAGGAAGAAATTCCAATATGGGCCATGACGGCTCTAAAGATCTCCAGAAAGCACCGCCCTCAGCGACATCAACCCTATGATCTTCCCACTTGGGGACAAATAAAAACCCTCACTAATCAAGTTAAAAATATGATTTCTCAACAGGGAATGCCTCAGAGTCCTGAAAACCTTCTTATCGCTAGGCTCTGTTGGCCTGCACAACCCCTGCTTGAGCCGGATTAACTAACTTACTTACCCAACCCCCCTTTATTACAGGTCATAAAATAGATGGAGAAAAGACCTATCAACCAATGACTCCACCCATATGCCCCCTCCCTGAAACCCTCACACCCTGGGGAAGAGGGAAAGCTAATTAACATTTCTTTAGGCCTTCTACTGGGCTTATGCATAAAAGTTGGCTGACAAACGGGCTTCCTGCCTCCAAAAGAAGACTTTACGACATTGCTGCCCTTCTTCTGTCTGTGAACCGTGTTTACTACTGAAACTTTAGTGAAAGAGTTAGGGAAAGAACAAAAAAACATTATGTAAAAGGTTACTAACATGAGGTTGAAATATTACCATAACAAAGGACTTCTTGGCTGGCTTGACAGTGGAATGGCATCACCCCCTCCTCTTCGAATCTTCCTGGATAAACAAATTGGGCCTAAACAATGGGACATCAGGAAACTGGCTGCCAGCACCGAAGAACTTGAAACTTGGACTAGACATTGCACAGAGACCAGTCGTGGTCATAGTAACTATTTCTTTCGCTATAATCAGTCATATTTTATACAGGCCTGTGTCCCACTTACAATTTAATCTGTAACTTGTATTAATTGCCAATTTTGTGTTACTCTTGTTCAATTCAATCATAGTACCTACAACTGGGAACAAATCAAATTTCATTTACATAATAATGCCTCTCTGAATGTACAATTATTGCAAAAGAAAATCTTTGAAACTTTTTCTAAAGGTCTGCCCTCTTCCACTAATTTGGAAACTTTAGCTGAACAAATTATCCAGGCTAGACCCACGAGGATAGTTTCAAAGTAGTACCCACAGCATCGGGTCTGGGACTGTAACTTTGGTGATTGTCTTGATAATTGTATTTGTTGTTTATCATCGCCTTTCTATAAGGTTGGTTAATAGTAACCAAACTCATTTGGTCAGGACCTTTTTTTTTTACAAATATAATAAAATAGGGGGAATTGTCAGGAAGCATTTAACAGGAGGCTTCCTGTGTGCTGTTTTGGATCTGTCAGGAAACCTTTGGCCCTTATTAATTCCTGAATATTCAGGAATTAAGAGGAGGCAAGCCTTTCCAGGGGCTGAGGAATCCAGGCATTTCCTTTGTTAGTTTCTCATTATGGTGATAAGTACCCTCTTCTCTCTTTAATAGGGATCGCCTTGTGTTTTGTAAGTCTGGAATTTTAATCTTTATCTTTGCTGAGAATAACTACCTTGTAAAACAGTATATATGCCCACACCATGTTGATTAAAACATCTTTGCTCCATCAGAGCTTTGGTCCCCGAGTCTTTCTTTCTTTCTTTCTCTCTCTCTCTCTATTTCTGGCTGATTCCCTGGAGCGTGAAAGCTGGCTGTGTAACCCAGGGAATATTAGCCTCTTCCTTCTGGCAGTCAAATAAGTAAATAAAAATAAGTATATTAAAAAAAAGAAGCACCCAAATCCATTAACTGACTCTGAAGAAACTTAAGTTCAGCTATTTACCAAGGTTTTACCTACATTTCTCTGCAAGCTGAAATCTAATTTAAAGAAATGGATAATGAATAAACAATAAACAACTTCATACAAAAGTCCAAAGATAGTATAGGGCAGTGGAAAGAATGAACAATGACCAGAACCGAGCTCCTCAAAAATCAGAAAATGGATTTTACTATCTTTGTACTATACTATTAGAGTTTATAGCATATAATGGGTGCTCAATGTCTAATAAACTGAAATGTTCAATTAGTCAAGGCCTGCCACTAATTATAGAACTTTTAATAAAGTTCCACTTTTTTTTTAAGTTCTCTGAAGTTCAAGTCTATCTATGATGAGGTTAAGAATAAAATAATCACTAAAACCCCTCTGAGCTCTAACATTCTGATTCTATAATGTAGCACCTTATACCAGGAAGGAAAACCAATGTTGTGAGCAATCATTAAGTGCACTGTGTCAGCATACAGGTAGTTAGTCATCAACAGAAGTTGAACCAATAAATACATGTGCTCATTTATATATGAACTGGATACTTAACCCTTCTTGAACTAACAATTCCCTGAGGGCAAAGACTGGGTTCAAATAGCATCTAAATTAGTACTGTGAACCCCACAGGAACTCAAATATCAGATGATAAGGAGGAAAGCATTATCATTCTTATTTGGCATTCACCAAGAATTTGGGACTAACCAGCATGAGGAATAAAAGCCTAAGTATAATAATGTTGTCCCAGAACACAAAAAAGGATAGCAGCTACTTGGAACTGAGCTGACAAAGGGAGAGAAGCAAAGACATAAAGAGCAGGAGCAATGACAGAAAGCTTGGATAGAAACAAACTGAACTACACAGCAAGAAAATGCACTAGGGGCTTTCCTGGTAGTCCAGTGGTTAAGAATCCATTTGCCAAGGCAGGGGACTCGAGTTGAATCCCTGGTCTGGGAAGATTCCATATGACTCAGAGCAACTAAGCCTGTGTGCCACAACTACTGAGCCCTTGCTCTAGAGCCCATGAGCCGCAATTATTGAGCCCATGCACCACAACTACTGAAGCCTGTGACTAGAGCCTGTGCTCTGCAACAGGAGAAGCCGCTACAATCAGAAGCCGGCGCACCACAACTAAGAGTAACCACTGTTTACCACAACCAAAGAAAGCTGGTATGCAGCAATGAAGATCCAGCACAGACAATAAATAAATAAATAAATCTTTTTTTAAAAAAAGGAAAAAAGGTACTAGAATGCTCTTATTGATGGCACGGAAGAATCACCTGCACGGCAAAGAGGCTGCAAGCTCCCCATTGTTTGCTGATATCTTCGGCTTTCATCTTCTGCTACCTCGTTGATGTCTGAATAGTCTACAGCATCTTCTGTACTCCTGACCCATCCTATAAATAAAAGTGGGGAGTAGATCTAAACAATGTGCCAGTAATTCTCAGTCCCTTATATAATTCCCACTGAAAAGTACATGTACAGTAAGTGGCTAGCTTCCTCCCCCACCATACTCCCCATGACCCAGACTTCACCTTCATCATTTACCAGGGCACCATCAGTACCAGTCAATTCTTCATTTGCTGTGAGTTCAGTTATCAGGCTGCCCAGCCCCAAAGCCCCCAAGCCTGCCAAATGCTTCTTACACTCCTGAAAAAGGGACAGCACCAGAGTTAAACACAATAACTAAACCTAAGTTTCCCACACCACAAGGTTTATTTCCAGATCCACAACAAAGTTATAAACCCATATAAATGACCCGACAGCATGCTAAAATAAGCATCACATTTGAGAACTGTGAAGTACATCTTCCACATCCACATTGATCAGATATAACACATCATATTCGATTTCATCACCATCCTTTAAAGTAAGGTAAGGAAAAATTATTCAAGGAACCACCACCAAGACTAAATAAATTAAATAGCAGATCCGTGAATAAAGTCTAAGAAAACAGGTAATTCCGACTAGAGAAAACAAATCTTTATAAGCAAAAAAAATAAAAAAATAAAACAAATCAAGAACTTTATTGTTATCTTTACTGTGTGTTGCAGGGAAGAAGGAATACTGGTCAGTATTTTCTCCTTGAGAAAATGAACTTTAATGATGATAGGTTTAAGTGTCGACTGGGCACAGGAAACAATTTCATGAATGTCAGTGAATGGTGGAAAAACTATGTAAGCAAGTGTGCACTGAGACCAGAAGGGGCCTGCCCTGGATGGTCTGAACATTGGCTGTTGTAAGAACCGGGACCTGAACCACAGGATTTGGTACCGGTCTGTCCTCTCGCTCTAGAGCCATCTCTAGTCAGTGATGTCACAAATGTGGACAGTTTAAAGAATCTCCAAGAAGGTTCTCATAGCAACGATCTGAAAGTAATCTCAGTAGCTTAGGCTATTTTTCCTCCAAAGCCACCGATATCAGCGCCGCTTGGCCTACTGTCCACCTCTTGTCCCCACCCTCGCCCAAAACTGAGCCCCCTCGCTCTCTTGCTAGATTGTTACTTAGTAGATTGTTACTATACAACGTACTAGCAAGGCAACCGCTTCTCTCTTCGCGTACATTAAGTGCGCCCTCTCATTAAGGGAGGGCCACATCGTCCTCTCTTCTAGTTTCCTAAGCCCTCTCAACTCTCCAAGCACCCTAAACTCTCCTCAGGCCACCTTCTCCTCAGCCGATCCACCCTCTGGCTCTATGCCCACGCCCATCCCCTCACATCGTCCAAGACGTTTTCTCCCTCAAGCTGCCCGGCTCCATTGATGTTGCCGAAAAGGAAACCAGTTAAAGAAAATGGGCCGCCTCCAGCGGAATCTTCATCGCTATCCGTGTCTGACATGATGGCTGCGGCGGCGGCACTGTCTTAGCGGCTACAGGCGGCCACTAAGCACTGCCTTGTCCCATAGCCCGGAAATAAAAACCACTCGCCCAGAAATAATTCACTGAGCTCCAGGATAAGACCAGCTCCCACAGGAAGCGGAATAAAGAACCGGAAAGACCTCCCGTCCTATGAGAAAGGGAGAATTGGTGACACAACGTTACTAGGGGTTTTTGATTGGACAATACGCTATCAGGAGGCTGGATCTGTGAAAAAAACATTGCCTCTGCGTATCTGCGCAAGCGCTGTCTCAGTACCTTGGGGAAGAGCGACGGATCTTTTTCCAATCAGAAGGTGATTCATGGGTCCTGTGACCTCCTCGTTGCCACGCTTCAAGACACAAGTGAGAATTAGAACCATTTTTTCGGTTCTGTGGGTCTCCGGGATGGCTCAAGTGGTAAAGAATGTTCTGACTGTAATGCAGAGACACAGGAAACGTGGGTTTGATCCCCGGGTTGGGAAGATTCCCTGGAGGAGGAAATGGTAACCCGCTCCAGTTTTCTTGCTTGGAATGGACAGAAGAGCCTGGCGGGCTACAGCCCATAGAGTTTGCAAAGAGTTGGACACAACTGAGCACGCATGTTACTTTCTTCCTGTCTGCGCTGTCGGCGCCTTTATTGCAGCGTCCCAAAGAGAAACAGTGTATTGCACTGTGCCAAAGGTTTGCACTCGTGCAAGTTTGTTGTTTTGAATTGACATTCCCTTATAAAAATAGATTTCCTCCCCTCTTTTGGAAAATATGAAAGTAAGAGATTAGTAAAATGAACAGCCGACCGTTCACCTAGATTCACGATTTCAACGTTTTGCTATTTTTTTTCTCTTTGAACCATTTGAATGTGGGTTACAGATCCTGTGATTCTTCACCCCTGAAAATAGTCTTCCCTAAGTGGCTCAGACGGTAAAGAGTCTGCCTGCAATGCGGGAGACCCGGGTTTGATCCCTGGGTCGGGAAGGTTCCCCTGAGGAAAGGAATGGCAACCCACTCCAGTATTCTTGCCTGGAAAATCCCATGGATGGAGAAGCCTGGTGGGTCCCAGTCCATGGGCTTGCAAAGAGTCGGACTTGACTGAGTGACTTAACAGTTTTCTACATAACCATAATACTATTAGCACATCTTTAAAACTTAACATTAAGTCAATATCATTTAACATACAATCCACATTTAAATTTCCTCAGTTGTCTTAATTGCAGCATTTTACATTTCAACCCGAGATCAACTCAAGTTTCATCCATTGCATTTATCTTTCTTTAACCTCTGAATTCAGAATCCACCAGCATTTTTCTTTGTATTGCATGACACTACCTATTTGAAAGAATCCAGGGAAATTGTCTTGAAAATATTCTATACTATGAATTCGTGTAGTCTTTTCTTCAAAGTGATTCTGGTTAAATATCTTACTAGCCATCAGAAGGCACAATGTCAGGTTGTCCCAATGTTGATAATGCTAAATTTGAGCACTTCAGGAAAGTGGTGCCCAACAGATCTCTCCATTGCAATGGCACATTTTTCCTTTTGTAATTAGTAAATAATCCATGGAGGTGATCCTTTGAAATTGTGTGAACATTATGTTCCCCACTGTCCTTATACCCAAAGGTTGTATAATCTGTTGATGATCCTTTCCTGAATCAATTATATTAGGAGAGTGTTCAGGCAGTTGGAACACAGTTGGAAGAGGATTTCCAGACTGAGCATTTCAGAAGGGAGTGAGTTTATTAAGAACAAAGAGAGATAAAAGTGGGCACTATGAGTGAAGCAGGCTGACCTCCTGACAGACCAGGGAGAGTTGATGGTGTTCGTGGGTTAGTAACCAATTTATATAGCCTTAAGACAAAATTCTGGCTGGAAGGTTGACGTTAGGTGATTTGCTGGGATGCTATAGGGTATTTACTGGAGTGGGCATCTTTGCTTAATTGGGAGTCAGGAAGCTTGTTAGTGATGATCAGGGGACTTTTGACAAGGTTACAAAGGGGCTCTGTCAGCTTCAGAGGTGACTTTGGTTCTGGGCTCTGCTTCTGAGGCCTTGGTGCAAGGCCTCACATCTATGACCTGGGGCAGGATTCAACATTTCCCCCCTTCTTATTAATGGGCCAAATCTTTGGCCCCTTAACACCCTGCTCGTGTCTAACTACATGCCTATCTCCATGGGACATGGGGATGCAGGTCATTGGGGAAAGAGGCAGAGACTGCTCTGGCTCCTTTCTGCTGGACAGGGGCATCATGGGGTCTGGGTCCCGATACCCACTCTCTGTCAGGGTGTGCATTTGGAGGGAGATGAGAGTCCATGGAATGACAAGACCACTTGTTCCAACATAATCCATATGTCAGCCAGCTGATATCCTTGTAGTACCATCTGGAGATTTATTTATCGTATTCTAGAAGAGACAAACTTAACAGGAAGTTAAAGATACATAGCCCCAAGATGAATAGAAGTAGAAAAGCTGCTAAGGGGCCTGGAAGAGGGGCTAGCCAGAAGAACCAGGGCTAGATGTTGGCTTGTGATGTTGGTATTTCTTTAGGTATGAGAAGATGCAAGAATTTGGGCTCATGAAAATCTTTTCTTGAAAATATATAACAATTTGAAGGCCTGTCCTGCCAGTTTTCCCCAGAGCACAGAATGCCTCATTCATGATTTCTACCCTGAACTCCTTTCAGGGTGTGTTGAAAGTCAGCAACTGGAGTGGCTCCTGATTTACTCTTTGTAGAGGCAGATGACAAGTGCCAGTTTTCAGTCGGCAGGGCCCCTTCACTGCCTTAAATTTGACCATTGGTTTAGGGGCATTTTATGATCATTTTGTCCCACGTTGCTAGGAATGCTCATTCCCAAATCTAGTGAAGATTTTTTGATTGGCCACTCAATGTGCTGTTACTGGATTAGGCCATGAAAGTAGCAAAAGTCCTGGACCTCATCTGTGTTACTAATAGTTTCTTATAGTCCAGGAAAATATTCCCTCTTGTTACTTCTTCCCATCTAGAGTTACATTATTACAATCTTTGATCTCATATGAAACTATGTATCATCATTTTATTAGAGGCCCAGTCACACATTTGGTAATGTAAGAGAATAGTCTTATAAAACTGGCAATATGGAAAATAATATAGTTTGCAGTAATAGTAAGTTCACAAGTAAGAATTTAATAACTTTTTTAGGTGTAGTCCAGTATATACCATGTTGTCTGACTTAGTTTGTTGAATGACTATAGTCTGATGTTAATCTCCTGGTTGTAAATCATGAAGCATCTGGTTTTTATCTTGTAACAGTATAACATAACAGCAAGGGACTAAATGAGAAGTGAATATTTAGTAAATACAGACCTTAACTAACAAAACTAGAATTTAATATTCAGTGAAATATAATTTTTTTCTAAAATTATTCCCATTTTTTAAAAACACAGCCAAGACTAATTTGTTTCTAAAATAAGTTTGGTCCATTGACTATAGATGCCATAGGCCTGTCATCAGTTTTTGTCGAGGTGGATTTTTTTCTTCTAGAGGTCCCCACTATACTTTGAGATGTCTGTATATGTCAGGAGACAATCTTTTTATTTACCTGATAAATCTATTCAGAACTCAAGTGTCTCCAATATCTAGAGGGACAAGGCAGAGAGAAAAAAATGTTTTAATGTTACCCACAGGTGTAGATTACCAAATTGTTTTAAACCATAAGTAGCTTGAGGAGGAGAGCTGCTTGATATCTGAAAACAAAGATCAGAAGCCAGTAGTATATCAGACGAAAAGTCATGAAAATTGTAATCATATTTAGCAGTTTATTTAATCTCATGTAATTAGTTTTTCTTCTGTTGTCCTTGCCTGATGATTGAGGTTGATAGTGACAGTGATAGTTTTAAGAAGTTTGAAAAGTTTTTGTTAATAATGGTATGATTTGCCCAGTGAAGTGTGTGCCTTGATCACTGGAGATTGTAGAAAGTATACCCAAAGTGCAAAGCACATTTTTAACCATTTTTTCCTCTGTTGTGAGAGCATTAACCCTGAAGTTAGAAAAGACTATCCCATCAAATAAAAGTGAGGTTTGTCAGGGGGCCAGGAAAAGCCAAGCGGCTGTCTTGGATTTCCCATAACCCTGATTTACAGCCATTATTTATCCATTTTAAATTCCCTAATTTAGGAGTAGATGAGGGATTAATTTTTGTAGAAGTGGAATGAGCTTTGTCTATGTGTGCCATAGTCTTCACAGATCATTGTGAAATAATACTCAGTTTACCAAAGTAACAAAAGATTTTAAAAAGAAATATAAATCACTTAAAGGCAAAGAAAGTTAAATAGTCTGTTATCAAAAAGCAGCATTCTAAGAAAACTTCATTCATTTAACAGAGAGAGAAAACCAAATTCCAGTTTGGTACCAACTTATATTCACTGTGAAACAATAGTTACTCACTTAGCCACAGTAACAATAAAAGATTTCAAAGGCAGTTTAATGTCTTAAGAAACTGTACCATGCACAAAACTCTTCCCGGAGTCCACTTCCCACAAAACTTTCTTTCACTTTCTGTATTCATCACTTTATTTGCCCATTCAGAGAACAGCCACCAGTAAGTTCAGACTTACTTCATTTTCCCTTCAGTCAGTTCAGTTTAGTAGCTCGCTCAGTCATGTCTGACTCTTTGTGACACCATGGACTGCAGCATGCCAGGCTTCTCTGTCCATCAACTCCCAGAGTTTACTCAAACTCATGTCCATTGAGTCAGTGATGCCATTCAACCATCTCATCCTCTTGTCATCCCCTTCTCCCACTTTCAATCTTTCCCAACATCAGGGTCTTTTCAAATGAGTCAGTTTTCAGCATCAGTCCTTCCAATGAATATTCAGGACTGATTTCCTTTAGGATGGACTGGTTGGATCTCCTTGCTGTCCAAGGGACTCTCAAGAGTCTTCTCCAACACCACAGTTCAAAAGCATCAATTCTTCGGCACTCAGCTTTCTTTATAGTCCAACTCTCACATCC